ATGTAAATGAAGCATTCAATACCGTTATACCGTTTTGCTTCAGGTACACTTTAATTATTTCTACTTAGATTTTGTACAGTTGCACAGTTTAAGTGCGATCACTCTATCATCAGTAAATAATATATAACACAAATGTTGTTTGTGGAACGAAAAAAATATTTTAGTAGTGTCAAGATCCAGGTTTTTTTAATGTTAAGTGTGCCTTCCTTCCCCTACAACCACCCCCATATTGGTACGTTTGTAATGTTCACGAATTTGAGCAAGTACCAGCTCTAACACATTAAACCATAATTATTTATTTAACATAAGCAGTAAAACTGAAACATGGACCCAAAACAATTCTGTTCTGACAACAGAGGACTTAAATGATATGGAATTGCACAATGCGATCTGTCAAAATMAATATTTTGAGTGGCGAAGTAAGCTAGTGTTTACAAAGTCAAGAAGGAGAATTAAAGATTTATACTATGTTGTTGTTCAACCACATGGGGAAGACGTTTATCGTTCGATTGTTCTAAACTCACATGGCAAACTAATTGGAATATACCGGTGGTCACCCCCTACTAGAATCACAATATAGAACTCTAAACTTTCGATGCGTAAAAACTATCGCATGTAATTTATTAAACCTTAATAATATGTGTCATTTTGAAAGCTTTCACTGTTTCCTAGGTGATTTTCTTGTAGTAACTTAAGCTTACATATTCCCGCGCGAGATTGAAACTGTGGAAATGTCCAAGTAAACAAAGAAAAATCATCGCCTTTGTCCGCACTCGAGGAAAAAAGTTTATCAATGTTAAAGAATCAACAAAAAAGTTGTTCGATTTTTTATTGGAAGGGTGGGCACTATTTTGTACAGTGACTTTAGAATTTCGAAAGTACAATGCTTAAATTCTAAAACAGCTAGGGGCTATAGGTCCAGCTCTAAGTTTATATTCCTGTGCTGTGATCTTGTTCGTCCAKTATTTCACCCATATTGATCTTACTTACCTAATAAAACGACCAGAATAACAGCAGCTATTGCTAAAAGCACAGATAAAGCTGTAGGTAACAATATTTCTTGCATGATGAGTTGTTCTCGAACGTAAGAATTTGTTTTTGATCACCTGTTCCGACCGATAAAAGATGCCCGTTACAGGGGACGCCAAATACTACTTCCAAATAAGGATTAACCTAATTTGCATAATAATCAGACGCATAAATTATATCCAGGGCATTATGGGTAATACAGTGCATTGTGGGTAAGTGTGGAATAAATCACGAGTATACACCACAGGAAGTATTACAGAGGAACCATTTCAAAATGCGATTTCGCTTTTGTGGAGACCTYGATTGCCCTGATTGGGTTTTGGCTGAGATAAGCACTCTTTCAAAAATAACTTCTATAAAAATGAGGCTTTTGTGTGCTCAAGTTATCAAGAATTTGCTCGGTGCAGAAATAGATTATGCAAAGGTTGAGAAGCTCACGTCGGATGCAAAGTACGATGTTGGAGATATCAAAGCTACTATCGCTGCTATTGCATTTATTCTTTCAAGTGCAGCTAAGTATACTGTAGATGGCGACTCGTTAGCTAATGAACTACAACAGCTAGGATTACCAAAAGAACACAGCGTCTCTCTATGCAAGCTTTATGGCGAAAATCTCTCCAAACTGCAACAAACATTTCATGAGAAAACCTTGAAATTAGATGGAATTTCCAACTTAGAATGGAGAGTTGACTACGTCCTGGGTTCAAGTGAGCTAGACCAAGTACAAGAACCGGAAGTACAGCTMAAGTTCAACCAAACAACTACGGACAATCCAGAAGGGAAGGTGGTTGCATTCACTGTTTCTTCCGAAAAGTTTAGAGTCTTGTTAGCAGAACTGAAGCAGGCTTACAGCTTAATGGAGGGAATGTCATAATAATATGTATTATATACATACTAGTATATACACTGATGTATTGAGGGTGGGGAGGGAAAAGGGCCATTTGCAGCTAATTACAGGGCCGGATTGCAACAAATGCCCAGGCACTCTTATTCTACACCTGTAACCTGTCTTTTTGTTCTCAAAAAGACACAGGTAAACCAACCTTGAATATTAACGTGCTTAGTCATGGCYGAGTATTGCAGTGTATATGGAGCTGTTATGAACTGCGTACAGTCAAACAAGGACTATYGTTAAAGAGTTTTTGTTTGGATGGAGGTTTTATTCAATGGCATTGATATAGAAAAGTCAAATTCCTKCAAAATATCATACCCAATGGCCATGTTATTGAAAAGCTAGGAAGMTCAGGCATAATTCAGACCAATGAAAGGCATACATTTATGATATTAAARTTATCAGAAGGGTTAGGAAGTAAAGTATGACAAGTCACTGAATTCCCTCCCTGKAGGCACTTTCGTCCAGTTCTCGCCTCTCTTGAGGAATTGCATTGAAAGGAGAAGCCAGGACTGAACTAGAGGCACCTCTGCTTAATTCTTATTTTACCATTCTTAATATCATTCATAATCATTAAAATGATTTTGGTTTTTTTTCAAGCAAAAACTTTACAGTATTTTGGCATTCAATTACAAACTTATTTTGATATATTAAAAGAATTACARTATTTTGAAGGTTCATTAATTTTATTGTGGTCTATCTATTTACAATGCAGTCCTTGATAATGCTTACTGAAGGCTTCAATAAATCTCCCTTTGAATCTTTATCAATATCACAGCCTTTTTTCATTGAGTWACCCAGGAAAATTTATGGTGTGGCAATAGTAACAAACTTTGAGTGAGATCATGGGCTTTGAGAGGTGGTGTTAATGTAARCTCAGCTTCTATTGCTTCTCATTGYAGCTCTTGTCTCTTTTTCTCTCTCAAACAGCCTTTGATCTGTCCTCTGTAGAAAATCTTRTCTTTCAAGATACCTAAACAAATCAAGCAATTACTCAATAACAATTCCCAAAATAATAACAATCATAATATTGTTGAATCAATGATCTTATTGTAAAAGTTGAACAGGTTCTGAGGAAAAAGACAAACTTAAGTGACAAAAAAAGCAAGGTTTAAGAAATACTGTTCAGCACACACAAAATCTAAAGTATAGTTGTTGTAAATCAAAAATTACATACCCACTCTTGTTGAAGTTTTTCAAGTCGTCAATTATACCTGTTTCTGACTTGAAGCTTTCCCAGTCAAGCTTTGATTTCTCCTAAAAAAACAAAGAGTTTTCACCAGTAAGCCTACGTGATGCAGGCTAGCACTAGTGAGTAAATCCAATACAACAAGGATTTCAATGAAATGCCAGGTAATCTCTAAGGCAAAGACATAACATTTTTGTGATACTGCATATAAATTAT